ATTCTCTGATTGGAGAATTGCATTGCAAAATTCAGAGAAGTGTGATGTGGTTTCCAGAAGCCAGTTGTGAGAAGCGTTTGTGCCTTTGACCATGAAGGCAGAGCATAGCAAACATGGCTAGTAGCCACTGATAGCCTCATCCTCATTCATAAATTTGTCTAATCCTTTTTTCAAAGCCATTCAAGGTGGCCATCCCCCGCTTCCTGTGGGTGTGAGTTCCATACTGTAGTTTAACTGTGTGCTGCATGAAGAAGCCTTCCTTTTATCTGTCCCGAATCTTCCAACATTCAACTTCAGTGGTTGTCTACCAGTTATGAAAGAGGAAGGAACACTGCTCTCCATCTGCTTTCTCCATCCCATGAATTCAAAGCACAATTATGCTACTCTAACAAAGCGCGGGTGGCGCTGTGGGTGAAACCACAGAGCCTAGGACTTGCCAATCAGAAGGTTGGCAGTTTGAATCCCCGCGATGGGGGAAGCTCCCGTTGCTCGGTCCCTCTCCTGCCAACCTAGCAGTTCAAAAGCACGTCAAAGTGCAAGTAGATAAATAGGTACCGCTGTGGCGGGAAGGTAAAGGGCGTTTCCGTGTGCTGCTCTGGTTCGCCAGAAGCGGCTTAGTCACGCTGGCCACATGACCTGGAAGCTGTACGCCAGCTCCCTCGGCCAATAAAGCGAGATGATGAGTGCCGCAACCCCAGAGTCCTAATGACTGGACCTAATGGTCAGGGGTCCCTGACCCCAAAGCACAATTATGCTACCCATTATCTTATTCCAGAACCATTCACATCGTGTTATGAGTTGGCTGGGGGGCCCTGCCAGGGACTAAGGTAAAGGTAAAGGTACCCCTGCCCGTACGGGCCAGTCGTGTCCGACTCTGGGGTTGCGCGCCCATCTCGCTTAAGAGGCCAGGGGCCAGCGCTGTCCAGAGACACTTCCGGGTCACGTGGCCAGCGTGACGAAGCTGCTCTGGCGAGCCTGCACCAGCGCAGCACACGGAAACACCGTTTACCTTCCCGCTGTAAAGCAGTACCTATTTACTTGCACTTAAGGGTGCTTTCGAACTGCTAGGTGGGCAGGAGCTGGGACCGAAAGACGGGAGCTCACCCCGCCGCGGGGATTCAAACCGCCGACCATGCGATCGGCAGGTCCTAGGCGCTGAGGTTTTACCCACAGCGCCACCCGCAGGGACTAGCTGCTCTTTTTTTTAGTTTATAACTTTATTCAGAGAAGTCTCTTGCCCCAAGCCTTACCCAAACTCTGCATGGGCAGTTAAATTGGATGACAGACTCCTAACCTGTGGACCCAGCTTCCCATGTTCAGGAGATTACCTGGGAAATGTGCCATTAAGAGAAGAAAGCAAAGGTAATGAGCCGTTAAGAAAGCCAAGGAAAGGGAGCTTTATGTCAAGAAGGCAAATTGGTGGGGCTCCTCTTTGATCTCTGAGATACTTAGAAGAATAAAAGCCAGAGTTGAGTTGGCAGTTGGCTGCGTTGTGACTGAGAGGCAGAAAGGTTGCAGGCTGGTAAAAACTTCTGCTTCATTGACTATGCAAAAGCTTTTGACTGTGTTGACCACAGCAAACTATGGCAAGTTCTTAAAGAAATGGGAGTGCCTGATCACCTCATCTGTCTCCTGAGAAATCTCTTTGTGGGACAAGAAACTACAGTTAGAACTGGATATGGAACAACTGATTGGTTCAAAATTGGGAAAGGAGTACGACAAGGCTGCATATTGTCGCCCTGCTTATTTAACTTATATGCAGAATTCATCATGCGAAAGGCTGGGCTGGATGAATCCCTAGCCGGAATTAAGATCGCCAGAAGAAATATCAACAACCTCAGATATGCAGATGACACAACCTTGATGGCAGAAAGTGATGAGGCATTAAAGAACCTTTTAATGAGGGTGAAAGAGGAGAGTGCAAGATGTGGTATGAAGTTCAACATCAAAAAAACGAAGATCATGGCCACTGGTCCCATCACCTCCTGGCAAATAGAAGGAGAAGAAATGGAGGCAGTGAGAGATTTTACTTTCTTGGGCTCCATGATCACCGCAGATGGTGACAGCAGCCACGAAATTAAAAGACGCCTGCTTCTTGGGAGAAAAGCAATGACAAACCTAGACAGCATCTTAAAAAGCAGAGACATCACCTTGCCAACAAAGGTCCGTATAGTTAAAGCTATGGTTTTCCCAGTAGTGATGTATGGAAGTGAGAGCTGGACCATAAAGAAGGCTGATCGCCGAAGAATTGATGCTTTTGGATTATGGTGCTGGAGGAGACTCTTGAGAGTCCCATGGACTGCAAGAAGATCAAACCTATCCATTCTTAAGGAAATCAGCCCTGAGTGCTCACTGGAAGGACAGATCCTGAAGCTGAGACTCCAATACTTTGGCCACCTCATGAGAAGAGAAGACTCCCTGGAAAAGACCCTGATGTTGGGAAAGATGGAGGGCACAAGGAGAAGGGGACGACAGAGGACGAGATGGTTGGACAGTGTCCTCGAAGCTACCAGCATGAGTTTGACCAAACTGCAGGAGGCAGTGGAAGACAGGAGTGCCTGGCGTGCTCTGGTCCATTGGGTCACGAAGAGTCGGACACGACTAAATGACTAAACAACAACAACAACAAACAGAAAGCTGAAAAGCGAGAAAGGAGAGCGCAGTGTTTGATGAATCCAAGGCTGTGGCTATAGGAGAAACAAGACCTTTTTGGGGTGTTGATGCTGTAAACCCCTCTATCATAGGCTTAAGTTGTATATATGTGTAAATAAACCATATGTCACAAAGACACAACGGTCTCTGCTGTGCCTCATTCCCAAAAGAAAACATGAACCCTAGCTAAGAACCTGGAAGCACTCAAGAGATTGAGGTTGTGTGCAACAATAAACACTTTATTTCCTGAGGAATTTTCCTTCCAGGGAAAATATTTGTTCAGATCTCAAAACTATTCCTGGATAAGATCAGCAGTAAAGTGGATGTTAGAAAATGATAGTTAATTATGAACTGGGCTTCCCCCATTGCAATATGAAGTTAAAGACCCCCCTAAGTGGGTGGGTGCAGCTGGCCCAAATTAGACACTATTTTGGCTAAAATGCATTGAATGCTAAAGACTTCCATTCCAGAGAAGCTGATTGCTGCAGTTGGCTGGAAGACCTGAGAGCTAATTTGGGGCCTGTTTCTTGCACCAGAACGGAACAATTAAAATTTCACAGAGCCTTGGAAGCTGTTCAGGAAGAAACTAGCTGCACTAGATATTTAAAACGGTTCTAACAGCCATTCCGAAGAATTGATGCTTTTGAATTATGGTGCTGGAGGAGACTCTTGAGAGTCCCATGGACTGCAAGAAGATCAAACCTATCCATTCTTAAGGAAATCAGCCCTGAGTGCTCACTGGAAGGACAGATCCTGAAGCTGAGGCAATACTTTGGCCACCTCATGAGAAGAGAAGACTCCCTGGAAAAGACCCTGATATTGGGAAAGATGGAGGGCACAAGGAGAAGGGGACGACAGAGGATGGGATGGTTGGACAGTGTTCTTGAAGCTACCAGCATGAGTTTGACCAAACTGCGGGAGGCAGTGGAAGACAGGAGTGCCTGGCGTGCTCTGGTCCAGGGGGTGACGAAGAGTCGGACACGACTAAACAACAACAACAACAGCCATTCCTTCTTTCTAGAGCAGGGGTGGGGAATCTCAAGTCAAGGAAGGGCAGATAAAGCTCCCTGGGCTTCTCTGCCTGGACTTCCCTGGGGCCACGCTCCCTCTCCCCAGACCATGCCCCTCGCAAGTCCCACCCATGGCTGCCTCCTTGAGGGCTTTTGGCTTGTTGGACCAGAATACATTCAAAGCACATCTCACTCCCCACCCCACTAAGAATCCTGGGAACTATAGTTGGTTAACGGTGCTGGGAATAGTAGTTCTGTGAAGGGGTTAACTGTCACTTTTATTTATTTTATAAAAATTTATATACCACCTGATTATAAAAAAGAAAAAGAAAAACCCCACAAAGTGGTTTACAGTTCTATTGGGGAAGCCACTTGCTTTAAAGGTGTTGTGTGGAGGCAGGGATAAAGAGATGGGGTAACAGAAAACATTTGCCGCTTGGCCCACTCTCATCTCTGGCTGCTCCCACCACTGCCCTGCAGCCCCCCAGAACTATTGCCTGGGAGGGGGCTTGGCCTCAGGCTGGAAAATCCATAGGGAATTCCGGGAGTTGCTATTCTGTTGTTGATGACTGGGCATAAGACTAACAAAAAGCTGTCAGAGGAATGAATATGTGTTTGTGTGAATGACTAAAATGGCAGAGTTTTGAAGCTTTAATCCTGGCAGCTTTAGGAAGGGTTGGCTGAACACAAGCAAAGCCTTCGCTTGTGACATGATTAGAGGACTTGCAAGCCGGACAGCGAAACAGGATCTCTCCTCCACCCCACCCCCCCCAACCCTGGCTTTGCTTCTCCTTCCCAGCCTTAATTAGCTCAGGGCTTTGTGTTCAGGGCCCAAGCGGGAACTGTGAGCTAAGCATTTCCAGACAGAGCCCCCCTTTTTTTGTTTTTGCAGAAGGCCCCCTGCAACACAGGAAGCTGTTACTTTATCGTCCAACTGTTGGTGTATCTCACTCAAGGTTATGGGCACTGACTGGCAGCAGCTATGGCTTTCCAGGGTTTCAAGTAGGGAATATTTCCCAGTTCTACCTGGGCATTGTCAGGAATTGAACCTGGCATCTCCTGCATGCAAAGCATGGGCTCTGCACTGATCTATGGCCCATCCCCTGAAAATAATGGTTCCAGGCCTCATGATTCTGAATAAAGGACTGAATTACATAGGGATGAAAGAAGGCATTGCATTGCGGAGGGGTTAGACAAGATGACCCCTGGGGTCCCTTCCAACTCTACCATTCTATGATTCTAAGGCACCTTATAGAGAGTCAGACCATTGGTCCATCTAGCTCAGTATTGTATACACTGACTGGAAGCAGCCCTCCAGAGTTTCAAATATTGGATATTCCCATCCAGCGGGGATTGAACCTGGGACCTTCTGCACACAAAGCACATGCTCTACCCCTGAGCTCTGGCTCTTCCCAAAAAACTAAAGTAAGATTCTAGTCCTTATGGTTTTGGAGAAAGGAACACAGGAAGCTGCCTTGCACCAAGTGAGAACCCTTGGACCATCTAGTTCAGCATTGTCTACACTGACCGGCAGCGGCTCTCCACAGTTTCAGGAGGATCCTTTGTTAAGACACTAGTCCTCATTGTTCTGAATAAAGAGATGAATTAAATAGGAACAATAGAAGCTGCCTTATACTTAGTCAGACCATTGCCCCATCTAGCTCAGGACTGTGCACAGTGATAGGTAGTGGCTCTCTGGGCTTTCAGACAGGGAGTCTTTCCACAGGGCCACCTGGATATGCTGCAGGGGGGTTAAACCAGGGACCCTTTCCTCACAAACCAACCAGTCTTAGACTGAGCCAAGAACCTTCCTATGTGCATCCTAAGAAAAGCAAACTCCACTTTATTCAGAGCCAGTGTGGTGTAGTGGTTAAGAGGGGTAGTCTTGTAATCTGGTGAACAGGGTTCGCGGCTCCGCTCCTCCACATGCAGCTGCTGGGTGACCTTGGGCCAGTCACACTTCTTTGAAGTCTCTCAGCCCACTCACCTCACAGAGTGTTTGTTGTGGAGGAGGAAGGGAAAGGAGAATGTTAGCTGCTTTGAGACTCCTTAAAGGGAGTGAAAGGCGGGAAATCAAATCCAAACTCTTCTTCTTCTTCTTCTTCTTCTTCTTCTTCACTAAAGAGACTGAGGTGGGGAGCAGGGAGGTTACCCTCTTTGTTTTGGTAAGTGGTTTTGTTTAGTTCTGGTGGTGGTGATGGTGTTTGTCCTGCTGCCTTTGAGAAAATCCTGGTTCAAATGACAGGCTATATAAACAACATGAGACCCTCCAGACAAATGGTGAAGGTTTTTAACACAAAGTCAGGACACAGCATTCACTGGCCACTACTAGCAAAACATGGCAGGGCTGGCAGGGTGGGGGGAAAACCCAAAACAAATTAAACCTTTTCAGAAACATAAACTGGTTGGCTTTAAAAGAGGATCAGACAAATCCATGGAGGAGGGCAGTGGGGTCTTTAACATAAGTGCCACCGGGGTGCAACCATCCGTTCAGGTTGTGAACAACAAGCTGACGTGGCGCATCTTTGGTAAATGAGTGCACAAAGTTGAAAGTCCTTTAGTGAAACAGTAGGTATACATTTCAGTAATACCTAGGTATATATATATATATTGTTTTTCTAGCTTGATCAAAATTATTTATTAGTTCATAACAGGTAGATAGTTAAGAGCTTAGGCAGCTTCAGCGGCTGGCACCTGGCGCCCCCCAGAATTTGGCACCTGGGTGCCCCATACCCCTTGCACCCCCGGGTAAAGACGGCCCTGGAGGAGGGCCATCAGTAGCTACAAGCCATAATGGCTATGTTTTCTCTTGCCTGTCGGAGGCCACGTGCTTCTGAAGACCCGTTTCTCAAAGTCATGAGTGTGCAGAGTGTGGCCATTGTGCTCAGGTCCTGCCCATGGGCTTCTCATTGAGGAATCTAGTTGGCCACTGAGAGGACTGAAGGCTGGACTCTGGCCTTATCCGGCAGCAGGTATCTCAATACAGAAGTCTACTGTGACAGCAGAACTCCCATGCCCGGAGCAGTCTACTCCTGAATACCATAGGGTGGGGAACTGGATAAGGTCGGTGGCCCATCAAGTCCATCATCCTGTTCTTACAGGAGCCATCCCATTGCTCCCAAATAGGAAACCCACAAGCAGGACCCCTGCACAGAAGCATCTCTACCGTCCTGTGGTTTCCAGCAACTGGTATTCAGAAGCATGGCTGCCCCTGACTGTAGAGGCAGGGCAGAGCCATCATGGCTAGTAGCTATCAAAAGCCCTCTCCTCCATGAACTTGTCCAGTCCTCTTTTAAAGCTGTCCAGATTGGTGGACATCACAGCCTCCTGTGGGAGTGAGTTCCACAGTTTATAGTGAATGAAGGAGTTATTCTCTTCCATCTGTCTTGAATCTTCCAATGTTCAGTTTCATGGGGTGTTCAGATAGTTGCAGTGGTAAACGCTTCTCTCTCTCTCTCTCTCTCTCTCTCTCTCTCTGTGTGTGTGTGTGTGTTGATTCAACTTTTGTTTTGTTGCTGGAGAAATCTAACTAATTTGGGGGGGGGGTTCCAGTTCTCAAACTGCAAACCTCACTGCAAACGTTAAAACGCCATGGCAGGAAGCAAACTGTAGGAGGAGGGGAGGAGGGTTTCCTGCCTCTCTGGAGCGAAACAGTCAAAAGATCCCATCTGTCAACAGCCTTTGCGAGTGCAGCCCCAAGATAACTCCCCAGCAATCCTCCATCGCTTCCGCCTTTTGTCCCCTGAATTTTTTCAGGCTTTCCTGCCCAGGAGCGTCCAGCATGGAAAGAATTTTATTTCCTCATGCGCTGGCCTGCTATGCCTTTCGATTCTTTCCCCCCACTTGTCAATAGCATTTATTACCACTACCACCACCACCACCAAGTCATTGTGCACAGACCCCTAAGTGCATAGAGCCCTGACAGCCACCCGTAAAAACACCCAGTTTATTTTAAGGGACAGGGAAGAGGAGTGAGCAAGGGGTCCTTAATGTTAGGCCAGGTGGGTGGCTGAAAGCAGCACAGATCAGTGTGCCAGGTGAGCCCAGTTCAGGCCACAGGTGACAGCACTGAGGTTTTGGGGAAGTTATGACTCAGTGGCTTCCATAAACACAAGACAAGCTTGCTGGATCAGGCCAATGGCCCATCAAGTCCAGCATCCTCTTCTCACAGAGGCCAGTCAGATGCTGGCAGGAAACCCACAAGCAAGGTTTGAGCATTCCTGGTGCTTTTGAGCAACTGATATTCAGAAGCTTTGCTGCCTCCAACTGTGGAGGCAGAGCATAGCCATTGTGGCTAGTAGCCATCATGGTTAGTGGCCATCAATAGCCTCCTCCTCCTCCCTGAATTTGCCCAATGCTCTTTTAAAGTCACCCAAAGTGGTGGCCATCACTGCCTCCTGGGGGGGGGGGAGTTTCATAGTTTATCTAGGGATTGTGTGAAAGATTTTTATTTTCTCTGTCCTGAATCTTCCAACATTCAATCGCACTGGATGTCCGCAAGTTCTAATGTTATGAGAGAGAACAGAAAACTTTTCTCTAACCACTTTCTCAGTTTCATTTCTCTCTGATCTCATTGCTGACAGTTCCACTTTCACCTCTCTCTATACCTGCTTTGTCCAACCTGGTACACTCTGGATTTTGGACTATGTAGGAAGTTGTCTTATCCCAAGCCAGACCATTGGTCCATCCCACCCAGTGTTGTCTACAGTGGCTGGCAGCATCTCTCCAGGTTTCCAGGCAGCATTATTTCCCAGCCCTACCCATTTCAGCCCTTTCTACAGAAATCCAGCCCTTTGTACAGAATCTTACTTTATTTTTCAGTGGAGCATGAAGAAGGTTGCAGGTCAATCCCAGGCGGCATCTCCAGGTCGAGCTGGAAATGTCCCTGTCTGGAATCCTGGAGGGCTGCTGCTGCCAGCCAGTGTATGCAACCCTGAGTAGGATGAACCAATGGCCTGGCTCAGTATAAAGCAGTTTCTGATGTTCCTACATACATGACAATGTGGAAACCAATGGTGGTTGAGACAGTACAGAAATGTTATGAAGAACTGCTGATATCATAATGCTGTTATACAACTCTATGGTGCAGCCATATTTGGAATAAAACCATATACAGTTCTGGTTGCCTCACCTCAAAAAAGGATATTGTGGAGTTGGGAAAAGGTTCAGAAAAGGGCAACCAAAATGATCAAGGGGATGGAGCGATTCCCCTATGAGAAAAGGTTGCAGAGTTTGGAGGTGGGGTAGGGTTTGCTTAGAGAAATGCATGCAGGGTATGAAGAAAGTGGAGAGAGAGAAAACTTTTTCCCCTCTCATGACAACACTCAGGGACATCGCACAAAGCTGAATGTTGGGAGATTCAGGATAGACAAAAGGAAAGACTTTTCCACACAGTGCATTGTTAAACTATGGAACTCCCTTGCACAGGAGGCAGCGATGACTACCAACGTGGATGGCTTTGAGAGATAATTTGAGAAATTCATGGAGGAGGGGAAATTGATAGCTACTAGCCAGGATGTCCCTGCTATGCTTCCACAGTTGGAGGCAGCAGTACTTCTGAGTACCTGTTGCTGGAAGCTACAGGAGGGAAGAGGGCTCTTGTGCTCAGTTTCCAGCTTCCCAGAGAGGCATTCGGTTGTCCCCTGTGAGAACAGGATGCTAGACTATATGGAGGGGCCCCCAGCACAGTTCTCCTTATGTTCTTATCTCTGAGAGTACAAGAGGGTGAAGAAAGAATCTTAAAGCTTGTCAACTGGGAGTGAGGGATCTCTTTCAGTCCTGGGATCTCAGTCCCTTGTAGGAAAGCTTCCAGGGGTCAGAACCGAAAGGGGCTGAGGCAGCTCATGTAGCTCTTTACCTCTGTACAGTAGGACACATTCCAGCTGCGAAAATGTCCCTCCACTTGGAGGTGGGGGGGGGGATGAGTACTTGGAATCTAGTGAGGGCATTTTCACCAGTGAAGCACACTGAGCAGTCAAAATTATTTCTGCACCTCCAACATGCCCATAAAAACAACAGCACAAAGTGCCTCCCTGCACGCACACATCCAACTTATTAGGGACAGGGTGCCAGCACCCCCACCCCACCCCATTTGAAAGCTACACACACACACAGAGAGAGAGAGAGAAGATGGTCAGAGAGAGTTGTCCAATCTTTAGGAGCAGACGTTTCCTCTGGGCTGTGCTTCATTCATCCCCTTTAATAAATCACTGATACCTCGTGGCCTGTGACTCGCCCCAGAGAGGAAATAGGAGCCAGGCAGTAAAAAGGAGGGAGGCTGCTCAGTTCAGGGGCAAGGGAACAACACCAACAGCCCAGCAAGTATCAAGCACCCTTCCCAGAAAGAGGCACACAGATATTTGGAATGAGCAATGGTCCTGCCAAGCTGAGCACCTGTGCCAAATAA